ACGTGTGCCCGAGGTCGGGGAGCCTTGTTGTCTTGGGTTGAGTGAGGGGGGGGGTGTGTGTGTGTTTTTTTGGTGGCGGGGGAGCATCCTCCAGGTACCGCTCACCTCGGCCGGAGGCAGCCGACAGATCCCGCTGTGCCGGCGGGGAGCTGCAGCCCGTGCGTCGCGGGGAGGTTTGGGGTTTGTTCTGGCTGCAGCCGAGCCAGGCAAATGCTCCTGCTCTGGCTTCTCACCTCCCTCCTCCCACCCGCCAGCCTGCGTGGGTCCCTACCGAGCCTGTCAAGCTTGCTTTTGGCAAAAAAAAACCCCTCCAATTTTCGGTCTGTGCTGGCTTGCTTTGTTTCCTAAGCTGGCCCCGGGTGTTACATGCGCCGCTATGCCGCCGTATCGGAGCGGGGTGAACCCTGGGGGGGGGGTGGTTGGGGCAGTGCCCCCTTGCCTTGTCGCCTGCCCGCCAGCAATGTGGGAGCGTGGCCTCTCTGCTTCACTTCGAAACAGCCTTGGGAGTTTGTGCGAGCGGCGCTTGCCGTGTCTGGGCTCGCTGGCTGGCGAAACGCCCGTGGGGACCGCACAGGAGCCCGGCCAGGCGAGGACGGAGGGAATATCTAGTAAGCCCAGATCTTGAAAAAAGAGATTAGAGACTTCTTGAAATGTCTGGGCAAATTTAGTTTGACTTGCATAAAATTCTGCTCTACTTCATCCTGTTTTACTGGCTTTGATACCGTTTCTAAGAGAGACTGAAAGGTGGTGTTTTCCATAAAGTCCTTAAAATTCTTTGCTTACTCTTGCCTGACTAGTCTGTGTTTGCAGACTTGGTCATCAGACTTTTAATAGGCTTCACTTTGTCTCCCAAAGTACCTTTTTGTGTTTACCTAGCCAGAAGCACAACACCAAAGCCCTTCGAGGGTTGATGCAGTACAAGTTCACCAAGCAGGCTTTGCTTAAATATACGAAGCTTTAAAACCCAACGTAGACGGTGCCCTTCATGCTGCTTGGTGGGGACAGCGGGCGAGGTGAACCTCAGGGCTTCCCCACTTTTGTTCTGTAACCTTTTAGGTTAGCAAAGGAAAGTAATTTCTTTATTAAAAAGAGGAAATGGCCACCTTTCCTGGTTTAATTTGAGGCGTGAACCCTCTTTCGAGGTCAGCTTGCATGGGAGGCAGGAAATGTGGAAAATCTCCGGAGCCTGGCTGAGCCAATGTGGAAAGCTGGCGGTGGTGGGACGCTGCCTTGGGGACCCGCCATCCCAGGTGGGACCGTTGGGTCGTGCCCGTTGCTGCCCCTTTGGAGGAGGAGCAGGGCTTTGAGGACGTCCACAGTGGGCTGAGGAGATGACCCAGTCCCTCCCCGCTCGCCCTGGGAGGGTAATTACTGAACCACGTTCCTTTGATGTTGCTGGTGGGGATTAAAGGGGCCCCACTGCTAAAGCAGACCTGGGGGTTGATTTTCCAAAGCACACTTCCCGCAACCTCTCCTTAGAAGTATTTTCCAGCTGCCGATTACTCACGCTGCTCTTGGGTGGAAGCAGCTGAGGCTCCACATCAGGCAGGAGCTGCTGGCGGGGGGTCAGGAGCTGAGCACAGCTCGACAAAGGTGCCTCGTGTTCCGCTGTGAAACCCCCCCCCAACTGTCAGAAACCCCTTTTGTAAGCTCCTGGGTGTGCTGGTCGGCGCGCGGCTCGGGGAGCGTGGCGTGCCTGGGTGAGCAGGGGGCTAAAAGGAGGTAAAACGGGAGGGGGTCGAGGACTTGCCCAGAGAAACTGCGGCTGCCCCCTCCCTGGAAGGGTTCAAGGCCAGGTTGGACGGGGCTGGGAGCCCCCTGGGCTGGGGGAAGGGGGCCCTGCCCGGGGCGGGGGGGTTGGGACTAGATGGTCTTTAAGGTCCCTTCCCACCCAAACCGTTCGAGGATTCTAGGACGTGGTCGCCACGCTGAGCTGCCAGCCTTGGAAGTCACCTGAGCTGCCTTAACCCCGTCGGGCAGCTCGGCGCTCCCCAAAGGGGAAGGTCTCATCCCTTTCCACCCCCCGCCGGGCGTGATGACCTTCTGGGCTGTTGGGGATGGGTCCGACAAGCGTGTTCCTGCGGATGCTGCTGTTAAAAGGTGATGACAGAGTCGGTGAAGCCGGGAGCTGAAGGGGTATGAGTGCAGCGTGTCGGTCAAAAGCTTCACCTGGAAGAGAGGAACAAGCTCTGGGTGTTGCGGGAGACGCCGGGACGGCCAGGCGAGCGTGGTGGCTACATTCCATATCTCTCTTAGAAACGGATGCCTCTTGGAGAACAGAGTCTGGGAAGTCATTAAGCTTGTGATGTAGCGGGTTAAAAGTCCTGCCAGATTTGGCAGGGTGTGCCTCCCGGGGTGTTCTGGATAGCCTGGCTGTGAAGAAAGAGCTGGTACGTATTAAGAGGACAAGGAAGAACTTAACCAGTAAAAGCTGGGTTTGCCAAGTCCTCTTCAAACACGCCACAAAGTCTTGGGCCTCTGTCATGGAAGAAAAAAAAAAAAGGCTGAGGTGCCTCCCCGTGGGTAAAAGCTTTTTTGTTGTTTCCTGCTGGAAAAAGTGCAACCTGTCTGAACGATGCTTGTTTCCATCCAAGGCAGAGGAGCTGTGGGTGCGGACAGGCTGCGAGCTGCTTTTTGGAAGAGTTTAAGTAAAGCTGGAGTTGCCCTCGAAGCTGGAGCAGCGCTGGGTTTAGGGGAGCTGGACGGCACCTTGGGAAATGTCCCTTGCAAGACCTGCCTGGGACTGGTGCTTGATTTACAACGGGGAAACCAAGGCCACTGCCTCTTCAGCTGGCTTCGTTCGTGGAAACCACTGCTTAAGAAATCTTGGGGCGCAGGGCGAGATCGGGTTTGGGAGGAGGCAGTTCTAGGGTGTCTTAAAAGAGCTCGGGAAGTCATCGTTGAGCTGTGTGGACCCGAACCCAAGTTGGGTAGTTCCTAGACTCTTCCGTTCTCCTCTGTGCCCTAAATCAGACATGATGCTCTGAGTGGTTGTCCTGGGTTGAGTGAGTGCTGGAGTGTTTTTGGTGGCAGGGGAGGGGGCTATCGGGGCGGCCCCCTGTGAGAAGCTTCTCGAAGCTCCCCCAGCTCCACGTCAGCTCCACTTCTGTTTGGGAAACTGAGCCCATCAGCTGCGCCTCTGCGATAACGTATTTAAGAAGGGACGTGGTGAGGAGCAGTGGGACTGGTGAGGAGGAGTTGCTGCAGCTGCGTGAACACCAAGGTCAGTGGAGGAACGGAGGAAGAAAGGAGGGGGGAGGTGTGCCGGAGCAGAGACCCCCCTGTATCCTGTGGGGAGACGGCAGGGCGGCCCCCCCTGCCACCCATGGAGATCTACGGTGGGGCAGACATTGATTTGTGGCCTGTTGTTCCTGCTCGGCATAATCAAGGTGCTGTGCCCGAAGAAGGCCGGGGTCTCGTGGGAAAAGGCAGCCCCACTGCTGTAATTCAGCGCTGGGAGGATTGCAGCATGCGGGGGAGTCCCACGCCGGAGCAGCTCGGGAAGGGCTGCAGCCGTGGGAGGGAATCCAGTCGGAGGAAGTTAGTGACCCATGACGGAGCAGTGTGGGGAACGCTGCGGCCCGTGGGAGGGACTCATGTCGGAGAAAGTTTGTGGAGGACTGTCTCCTGTGAGAGGGGGACCACGATGGAGCAGGAGGAACAAGTTCCAGACACTCCCCTCACCGAAGATGAAGGAAGTGGCAGCGCTGCCTGCACCCCCCATTCCCTGCCCCTGCGCCACTGGGGGAGGAGGTAGAGATATCGGGAGCAGAGCTGAGCCCGGGAAGAAGGGAGGGGTGGGGGAAGGTGTTCTCAAGATGTGGCAATGCTTCTCACTGTCCTACTCTGTTAGGTGTTGTTAGCGTCTGTAATAAATGTATGTTCTTTTTTTCTTCCCCTAACGAGTCTGCCTTTTGCTCGTGACCATAAAGGGGGATTTTCCCCCATCCCAGTCCTATCTTGAACCCCAAGCCTGGCTCTCTGTCCCTTCTCATTGCCGGAGGGGAAGGGAGAGAGAGCCGCTGCATTGTGGTTGGCTGCCAACCAGGCCCAAACCACGACAGTGGTGTCGGCTTCGGGGTGTGCTGGGACTCACCAGGGACATCCTGAATTCCCTGCGTCCTCCGCGGGACCAGCGCTTGTTCTTGAGCGGTCCTTGGGTGGCTTCTGCTGAAGAGACGGAGGTATTAACCCCCCCAGCCTTCAGCTGCCCAGCCTAACACAGCGGCCGAGCAGGGACTCGGTACTTTGGGCACCTCTGTGGGCTTCCCTGAGCGACTCTGGTGTGGAAAAAGCAGCTCAGGGACCTTCTCCTGCAGCCTCAGGCCGCCGGCTGCCGCGCCTGGTACGTGCCCGGATCAGCAGCCCGGCAAAAAAAGGTGGTGTCCGACTGCAGAGGGGACTTTCGCTGCATGGGCACCGCAAACCACCTTTCCTCTAAGGAATCCTGAAGGAGCTGGTACCACTTGGCATCCTTTTGCTTTTAGGGGAAGAGCAGGAGGAGGTCCCTTTGTGCCCCCAGCGCTACGCGCAGTCTGCCCCGAGGAGGGAAGAAAGGCTCGAAGGTGCATAAGCTGCAAACCTGCATTCTGAATGCAAGGATTTTGGCTCCTGGGACCGACAAAAATGAATAGTGACGCGTCCCAGAGAACACGCTAAAACAAACCAGACCTTATTTCCTACTGCCAGAAGCCTCCTCAGATCCTTTATCTGATGGTCTAGACTAAAACCCGTCTGGCGGTTCATGTCTGCGCCAAGTCAACGCGGAGGGTATTTCCCTGTGAAACGATCCTCTGAGCAGCCAGCCATGAACTACCTGATCGCGGGTCTGGGTGTTTCGCCTTCCCTCCTTCAGCGTGCAAAGGGTGGGATTAAGCTCCTGAAAGCCAGAGCTGACGTGGCTGTGCTGGAGGACGGGCCTTCAGCTTGGTTGGGCTGCCGCTCCCTTCCCTTCCCCGGGTCTTTGGGCTCGGAGCTCCCGGCGTTGCCAAGCGCTCGGTTCGTGCGCTGCATGGAGGCCGAGCGGTCTTTTGGTTACCTCGGTGAGGAGCTGGGGTGGCTTCTGTAGACTCGGCAAGAGCGAAGCCTCGTGCCGGACGCCCGGGAGCTTTGGGATAAACGAGTTCCCTGCTTCTCGCTGCCGCAGCAAGCGCGCGCTTTGCCGGCGTAGCTCGGGACCGAGCTCTGCAGACTTTCTGTGCTGATGTGGGGCTGCTGGCTGGCTGCTGCCGCGCCGCTTGGGCTGTCCTGCCCCCCAAAACCTCAGCCCCGAAGCTTCTCTCCTCCGTGGTGGTGAGATCTGCTGTCGGCTGCCCTGCTTCCCGTTAACTCCGCTTTTTTTTGCGGTCAGCCGCGCTGCAAACTCTTGTAAGGTGGATCCACCGCCTTGGCTGGCTGCGGACGATGCCGAGAGGCTGCGCGCTCTGTTTTTGGGCTCAAAGCTTCTTGGATGCTTTCCGTGGGGTCGGTTGAAGCAAAGCTATCTCCCTTACTGGGCTCTTGGGTGGCCTACAACCGGGAAGAGACCTCAAATAAGAAACATTGGTAAGCCAGAACTTCACCTTATCTGTGACTGCTTGGTTTGTGCCCCGTTGCCTGCCCTCCCCGCGGTGGCCAGCCACCTCCTGGGCCTGGGGTACCGAGCTCTTCTCCACGGGTGGCCTTCCACCTCTGCTTCCAACGCTCGAAGAGGCAACTGGGGTGGGGACTGTGGTCTTGTCATCCTTAAAATCATCCCGGGAACACCGGGGAGCGGGCTGGCGCGCGCGGTCGGAGCGGGGTGGCTTGTACCGAAGCGTTGGCTGATGCTGATGGATCTCGGCAAGAGCTGGCTGCGTGGGTGGAGGAGTGCGAGCGACGGGCGCCGCTCCGGCCGGGCTCGGGGCCCACGAACCCACGCGGTGCTCGTGGGAGCCGGGCCGATGGCGGCACGGAGCGCGTGGAGGAGGAGCAGGGGCTCGCTGGGGAGGGACGCTCAGCGGGCTCGGTGCCTTCAGCACCCGGTCTGATACACAAATTAAACCGGCTGCAGCGCTCCTGGCTGCCTCCACCATCCCCTTCACCGTGTGGCTGCCTGACCGGGCGCGGCGCAGGAACGGTGGGAGCCGGGAGAACCCTCCTGGAGCCGGTTGCGGTGCTGGGAAACCTCGAGTCTTCGAGCGCGTCGGCAACCTCATCTTTAGGGGTTTGTTCGCGTGAAGCTCCAACGTCGGCGTGACTCTAGAAGCTGGACTGAAGGAGAGGACCCTGCAGGTTTGGTTTTGGACAGAAAGCAAGCTTAGAGATGCGAAGCAAATCTTGAAACCCAGAAGGAAGGTGAGTGTTTAAATCCCTTAGTTCTGATACCTTGGGTGGAAACGTGTCGGGCTGATCGGGGATCGCTCCTCTGCACCCCGCTTGTAGGTAGGTTATTAGATCTGAAGGTTCACTTCTTGGTGTAAATAATCATTTATCTCGCCAGCAGCTGATGTTAATAATGTTGAGTAGAAGGGGGCTTCGTGCAGGAACCAAAGTAATCTAGCGTCCTGTGTTAATAGCAGTATGTGCAACTAAAAACTGGGGATATAGGGAAAAGAGAAGTGAGCTTCCTTCCTCCTCCTCGCCTTGCTTCTCCGGGCTCACCTGTGTGTGACTGGTCCTCCTCCGGGAAAGGGGAGGACGTCGCATCCCGAGGAATTGGCTGGAGCCAGGGAAGCCGCTAAGCTTGTGTTTCCCTTTCCCAGCCAGAAATGGAAAATTACGGTTCTGTAACCGAAACGACCGGACTTGCCCGTGGCCAGGCTTTCCCCGCGTTAAAACTCCGCTTGGTTCCGGCACTCCGGCACCTTTTCGATCTCTGAATTTTGGCAGGACCCTCTGGAAACGGGAAGAACAGGCGCTCTCCCTCCAAAGCGTGCTCCTGGTGCCGATAAGGCTGATTTTACCACTCTGGTGCCAAACAAACTGATCTTACCACCCTTTTTCCCCACAAATACCAGTAAAAGCTGAGGATGAGAGGCGTAGCTGGTACGGACGCTGTGCCCCGGGGAGACCCTCCTCCGGCCAGCTTTTCCTGGGCGCTGCTGGTCGAAGGCCGTTCCCCACCGCTCAGCCCCCTCGACATCAGCGTGCGTTGGATGGGGAGAGGCAGCGAGGACGTGCCAAGTCTGGGCCGTTTGGCCGAGCAGGTATCGGTTTCTCATCACTTGTTCACGGGGCTTAAACGCAGCTTCGAATTTAAGCTCAGTCCAGTCCTGCAGACGCGGATTCCTGAAATCGGGAAAGGAGGCGGCAGGAGGTTAAATCGAGCCCGCGAGCTGTTGTTTCACGAGAGCCTGAGCTGCTCGTACTGCAATACAAAACAGCTCGGGCTAAAGCCTAGCTTAGGAAGGATCCTCCACAAACTGCTCAGCTGAGTCGGGGTGAGCATCCCACGCGTCTCCGCCTCCAGCCTCTCGCTCCAGACGCAGCAGCTCAGCCTGGCTCGCCTGCGCAGCCGGAGATGAACGCCGCGGGCGGAGGGCCGAGCCGGGCGGTGGAAATCTCTCTGGGAGGAGGAACAAGGCTCTCCTAAAAATAGCCAGGGAAAAAATGCTTTCCTCTTGCCTTAGAGGAAAATCCTGTCGGGGAGGCTGGAGCCTGGCTTAGCTGGCAAGGCGGTCTGAGACGTGAGAACACGGAGCTGAGCCTTGTTTTGGGAGCGGGTTTTGTGCAGCCGTTGCCTTTAGTCTTGAGCTGCTGTGTTGTTTGGGTTTTAAGGCCGGCTTGGGCGCCAGCTCACTGTTTTTAGGAAAATCGTGTCTCTGCGTTACTTGGATTTAATAACATGTTTGTTTGAAGGGGCGGCTTTGAAATCAGATGCAGTGTTCCTGGCTGAAATAGGAATTTTTTTTTATTTGTTTCACTGCTCCCCGCTGGCGGCAGCTCTGCATCAGCCTGCTGGGAGCTGGGGAGGAGTGAGTGGTCCCGGGGCCAGCAGAGACCCCTCACTCCTGTCTCTAATGCAGCCCAGTTGAGATGAAGCCAGGTCTTGTGGAGCAACGTGAGGACCTGGAGCGGCTGTCCTGCCGGAAAACTGCTGGGCAGCGTGGCAGGATCCCCCCCCCCCCCCCCCCAGAGCCTTCTCTACAAGCTGGTCAAAATGATCTCCTCGAAGATCCGTGTGCTGGCTGGGCCGGAGGAAACTAGTCAGGGTTAGGAGGGCGATGGGTGACGAACGTGGTGCAAACGGAGCCCGAAAACCACCCGCAGGGTGGGGTGAGGAGGGACAGGGACCTCGACCGACGCTCTCCGTGCCCTGGAGAGCACGAAGCTATTTTTACCTGGCCCTAAACCAGAAGAATCGCACGTTTTCTGTTCTGCGGGAGAATCTGCAAGAGGTCTGTAGCCTTCTCGTTGAAGGAACCGAGCTTCACCCCCCCTTCTCCTGACCCCCAGCCCGTCGGGTCGTGGTCTCAGATGTTCAGCTCCTCAGGGAGAGGAGGGGACTCTCCCCGACCGCCCTTGCCGGTGGGCACTTGCCGTAAGGTCTTGCACTGGAGGCGCCACGTGAAACTGAGGTGCCGCCTCGCACCAAGCTGAGTGTCTCTGGCTCCCAGGAGCAGAGTCGTCGAAGACGACTCTTCAGCGGGGCGTAGGGAGAGCTGCAGGTCCCCAGGATGTCCCCTGAGCTTCAGGGACGGGCAGGTCTACGAGGAGACTCCGCGTGCAGCGGGGCCGGTGCAGCTGAATTTCGAAAGGCCGTTCTGGCCACCCCGGTGCCGACGGGGCGAGGCCGTGGACGGGCTTCGAAGGTCCCTTTCTCCAACAGCCTCGTCCCGGGAGGCAGCCGCGGAGCTCCCCGCGGTGAGGCGAAGCGGAGGACGCTGCGCAGTGCCCGTGCCGTCGTCTTCGGGGTGCCAGCGTTGCAGATCTGGCTTCGGCGCCAAAGGGAAAGGGTGGGTGGCCATGACCGTGGCGTTTGGGGGGGGACAGGAGCTAGCAGAGGGTGGCATCCTGCCCTGCGAGGCCCGCCCTCCTGCTCACACCCTCGGCACCCTGCCTGCAGCTTTGGCGTTGATGGATTTTCGGCCCCGTGCCCGGCGTCGTTATCCAGAGGGCCCCCCCCCCCTCTCAAATCCTCGCTGTAGCGTTTCGCGAGAGCCGAAGCTGTTCTTAGCGCTCGCCTTCAAGAAGGAATCTCTTGAATCAGGGTTTGATTTGGTGCTTTAGCGTCCAGATATCTTTGTGGGGAGGAGAGCAGCTCTCCTGCAGCGGTGTCGGCGCGCCGAGGACCCGGAGCTGCCCTGTCTGGAGTTTCTCAAACCAAACGTCGACGCACCCTCATCTCACCGTGCCTCCCGTGCCAGTAAGCCCCCAGCGCCACTTTAGCGCTTTAGCAAATGCTTCCCGCTGACAAAAATGGGAGGAAAGGGGGATAAAAGGGCTTTGGGAAGATGTTGCCGGCCGGTGTGCCGCAGCGCTGGGGCTCTGGACGGGGTGAGAAGGAAGCAGCAAGGGACGCGTAATGGGAACACGTCCCGTGGGAGGCCTTCAGTCCAGATCCCCCGTGGAGCTTTCGGGGGGGTTCCCAACCCGGCCCCGTGGCTCCTGCGGAGCGGTGGGGTCTGGGTGACGCATTCGGGGTGGTGGGGACCATCCCATCTCCCCCAGCGCCGTTTCCTTACCGAGCGTGTCGTCAGCGGATGCCGTTCCTCGATGAAACCACCTCCGTGAAATTCGGGGCGGAGAGGGACCTGCTCCTTGGGCAGCACTGAGCCAGCCTGGCCTCCCTGCTCGGGAACCCGGGGCTCCGGCTCCGCTGCGGCTCAAACAACCGGGAGGCTGCTTGGCTTTGCTGCCTGCCTCGCTGAAGCTGCTTGCAGCGTGTGGATTTTGGGTTGCGCTCAGCTGTTTGGGTTTGCCAGAAGACAGTTGAGGGCGGCCTGCTGAGGGGCCCTAGTCCTCTGCGTAGCGAGGGCAGGGGCAATCTCCTCTTTTGACCACCACCCCAAGTCCAAATGCGTAGGTGGCTTCTTTGGGGAAGGGCTCGACTACTGGCCAAGTCCAAGTAAACCTAATTACAGGCCGGGGATGATCTAGAAGAGGTCGCTTCTACCTGAACACCCGTAGCTCCTCCTGGTACTTGGTTGTGTCCTTTTGCCTTGTTCTGGTCCAGGACCAGAGGAGGTCTTGGTGGGCACCGAGGAGAGCGTGAGCCAGGGGTGGCCACCAACCCCCTCCGGGCTGCCCGGGGGCAGGAGGTGGTCCCCTGGAGCACTGGGCTCCCAGTACAAGAGCCAGGAGAGAGTCCAGCAATGGTTTGAAGGGCCTGAAGCATCTCTCGTATGAGAAGAGGCTGAGAGGGCTGGGACTGCTCAGCCTGGAGAAGGCTCATTAATGTCTCTAAATGCCTCACGCCCAACATGAAGAAAAGGAAGAGGATCCAGGCTCCTCCCGGTGTCAGGACAAGAGGCAACGGGCACAAACCGAAACACAGGGACTTGGGTTCAAGCATAATAAACTTCAGCATGAGGATGGTCAAACGCTGGACAGGCTCCCCTGGAGACCCCAGGTTCTCCATCCTTGCACCGGCCGTCATCCTGACCCCAGCACTCCTGGCCAAATCTCTGCCCCTAAACGCCCCAGGGTGTTCGCTGGGGGTTAAAATATTTGTTTGGGTTTTTGGTTTTTTTTTTTTTTTTTTTGTTAAGAAGCTGCTGCCGGTACCTTGTCACTGCCAGGTCAGGAGGGGAGCTGGTGTTTTACTGTCGGAGCGACTTGGCGTTGCGCTGAAGGGCTGGAGGGGAGCCCCTGAGTGTTTCACCACCTGGACGGGGAACCCGGCGCGGTCAGGCAAGAGCAAAACAAGGCTGTTAGGGCTTCCTCCTGCCAAGAGGCTGAGGAATAGGAAGCCGTTTGGGAATAAACCTCCGCTCGGCGCCAGGATGTACCTGCGGCAGTTTGCAGCTCGGTGTTTGGGGCTCGTGTTTGTGTTGCGCTGGCGTGGAGGAATGGCAAATGCCATTTTCGGGGGAAAAAACAGGCGATTTTCTGCTTTCTGCCTGAGTGTTTCCCCGGGGACTGAGCCCTGAACCAGCCCCCCCCCCCCCCACCCCGGTGCCGTTGCAGCGCTTCTCCGTGGAGCGGAGGGATATAAATATAAATAATAAACCCTGCTTTTGGCGGGGCTGTGGGTTTGCAGCTTTACTTTGAAGGTACCGAGGACGGGCTTAACTCACGGGGCGCCTGGCTTCCCCAGGCCAACGTTGGCAGGCACTCACAGCGCGTGGTGGCCGGTGCTTCGGGCTCAAGCTGTGCCCAGGCAAAGCCAAACCCACCGAGCCCCTGTTTTCGTGGCGTCGCCCACGCTGGGGGCTGGTTGGGGTTTATTTCTTAACAGCCAAATCTTCTTTAAACATGCCGGCTGTGGGTTTTCTCACTCGGCTTCCCATTATTACAGGCACCTCCCGTGACTTCTTGCCCCCCGCGCACGCCGCCGTGGCCCTTTCCTTTGTTGCCTCCTTTCCTTCGCCGGCAGCGAGCTGTCCCAGAGCCGCTTTTGGGCTTGGTTTTAATCCGGCTCACGTGCTCCCTTTGTGCAGATACTTCCCCCCGCGGAGCCCAGCCTGGGCTCGAGCTTGGCTTTCGGATCCTCTCACGGCTTTACCCGAAGCGAGCGCCCCGCGTCCCTTTAGGAAGAGGGTAACTGGGTCTGGGGGCGGGGGGGGGGGGCAGGCTGTCCCCGGGGGGCGTGCAGCATCCTAGCCAGCAGCAGCACCGGGTGCCCATTTCAAGCTCAGGCTCCCTTAATCTCCATGCAGCTGCGCTGGGGGAGAATTAGCCTTATAAATTTGCATTTGAGATAATCCACTCGAGGGGGATTAAGGAGCTGTTTCTGCTCCGGACCGGAGGGATGCTCTTCCTCCTTTGCGTTCAGCTCCAAGGGTCGACTGTATTTAAAGGGGCTGTCCAAGAACCCCATTGATTTGGGGATGGATACAAGCACCCGGGTCCCAGATGAAAGTCGCCCAGCGCCGGTGGCCAACAAGCACTGCACTAGAACCAGCTTCACCCCCCCCCCCCCGTGACGTGGTGTTGCTCCGCAGCGTGGAAGCGGGTCGACACCTTCCTACAAGCCCTCCCCTCCTTCGCGCGCTCCTAGTCCCAGAAATTTGTTTTCCAGGATCTTCCGAAGCGTGGAAGAAGG